CTGAGAAAATCAACACCATCCATTTCAAGAGCACGTGCCCCGCTCCAAGGCGAGGTGCGGTGTTCACTTGTTTAACGGTTGTTAGTGACCTTCCCGCCTGGCCAGTGGGTCAGTGCCGCCTGTGAGCACTTCCTCTTCTCGCTCACACCTGCCTGTCCCTCTCGAGGAGCTGCGCGGTGCCGTGGTTGGCACGAGCTAGTCCTGGGTTCGAGTCCCAGTGACATCGCTCGCTCGCTCCGAAACCTCGCATCCGAGACTGGCACCTCCCCTGCCTTGCTCAAGGGGGCCATCACCGTGTCCCCTCTCACAGGGGCGCTGCAAACTCACATCGGAAGATCCACGTCGAGTCCACGCGAACTCGCAGGGCCTCCGTCACGCAGGGCGGTGTGCGGTCACGGGCACGCAGCCCACACAGCTGCTCCCGCCTCCGGGTTCCGCGGCCTTGGGGTCACCCTCAGAGGCAAGCGGCTGATGCTCCTCCAACTTTGTGCTCAGCCTTCTAAGCCTTCCCTTCCCCAGAGGGAGCCAAGTTCTCCAGGGCCGGGGTCATCTCGCTTCCTTAGACTTCTACGGACCTTTGGTCACTGAAAAAAGAGAGGGGACCGGCCGCGTCTCTTCCTACCGGCCACAGCGCTACATGCCCCGGTTGCAATCCGGGTCTTTTGCTGCACCCGAGATGCTAGAACCACTTTGGCCGCCCGAAGCCCTGACACCTGCCCAGCTCTCCCCAGCTTGCTCCCCTCCCTCCCGTCCTTCACTGAACCACGTCTGTCCTGCTCCGACCCAGAGATGACGTCTTCCCTCTGACACGAGTACCAGCCCTTCCTTCCCTGTAGCTACAGCCGCCCCTCGAAGGCTGTAGTAGCCTGTTAGCGGCTGACCAACCTGGCCAAGAGCAAAACATGTGACCTGTGCTGAGCCAATCAGATTCTCCTTGCTATGACTATGAATCGGAGCCCGGGGATTTGGTGGACAGGCGACCCACAGGGGGCTAAGGAAGCCAAACGAGGGGAGGGGAAACCCAGGAACAAGCAGAGAGAAACAGATGGACTCTAGAAAGCTCAGAAGCTACAGAACCCAGCTCCTCACGAGGCTCGGATACATCTTTGCCTTTGGGCTGTTGTTCTCTTCCAATAAAATCCCGTTTTTCCCTTTATGCACGAGCTAGTTTGGAGGAGCGAGTGTTGCGTTTCTTACAACCCGACCGCTGCCGACGGAGACTAGGACCCGAGCTTCCTGCGGCCAGAGCCACACACCAAACCGTAGCCTTGGAAACCGCTGCCCACACGGGGCTCCTTAGTTACCGAGACGCCCCGGACACTCTAGGCTCCCCATGGAAATGCGGCGGGGGGCCACATCTGCAAACACCACCATCCCCGGCCCCCTCCCTGCCCCCTCCTGCCTTCTGTGCCGATCCTCCCTCCCAGCATGCCTTGCAGCTGAGTTCTCGCTGGGCCACCAGAGCAAATTTGGGGAGGAAGTAACTTTGGTCCTTCAATGACTCATGAAATCTAATTCTATTTAAAAAAAAAAAAAAAGAAATAGAAGAAGAAGAAGAAGTGCATATGTTCAATTGAAAAGAAAACATTTAAAATAGATGTTTTGCTAAGGAGCCTTGAGTGGCTGTGCCCACGGGCAGTTGGAGAACTGCATGAATGTGCCCAGCTGACAGTCTCGTCCCTGGGAAAAGCATAACTTCTGTGCCTGTGCAACGAGCTGCGCCCCCAGCCCAGCTCCGGCCATGCGGGTGGCCCCGAGTACTGTTCTTAGGCACTTTATCATCATCTCTTTCAATCCTCACTTATTATGTCTACTGTAAAGACGATGAAACCCATATTCAGAGCCATGAAGTGACTTTCTGGAGGTTGGACAGCCGGTAATCACAAACCCAGACTTATCTGACGGAGGCTGTCAAGCTTATTCCTGCGCGTGTCTAGAACCACGCACCTAAACCCCATTCGGCCAAGACCAGTTCCTCTAACGAGCAATTCTCTAAAAATTCAAACCCCTTCTGATGGCGTTCGCATCCATTTGGGCATTGACGTTTGCAACCTTGTGGCCCGTTCGACACTCTGTAAACCGCTTTTTGTTAGACGCTTCTGAAATCACCTAAATTCAAAACGAAGACAATTACCCACGAAGCCCTCCCTACATCGAATCGGTGTTCTGATTGGTCTCTGTCTTTTTCTGATTCTTTTCTATGTACGCGTTCAATCTGAACACATTTAGAATAATCTCTTAAATAGAATTTAATATCTTACATTTTCCGTTCAACGTTGCGCTGTGAATATCTTTCAAAGATTATTTAACCCAATTGTCTAAGAATATATCTGATGTAACCGCGTCTCTAAATAAGTTTCGAAAAACTAAACTTGCATCGTTTTAAGAACGACAAGGGTTGTTTTGTATACCAGTGGGTGTCTCGTTCCCTTTTATCTATGTGGACCACCTTCTGGATTTTTTTTTTTTTATCCTATTACGGATCTTTCATCTTCAAAATTCTAAGTCTCTGGCAAGACAAACACATCAAATTTGCAGCATGTTATACCAGATCTGTCGTTTTTTTTTAAAGGTAGCTGATTCATAAAGGAATTCTGGGTCACAAGATACAAAATGACAACCCGCTAGGGCCGCAGCGGCCTCCGGGCAGCTTCTCAGACACACGGAGCGTGCTCCCGCCTTGGGCACCCACACTCGGCCTCGCTGCCGGAGACACTGTGCCCCCAGATTTTCACTTGCTCTGGTCTCTGCTCAAATATCATCCCCATCAAGTCTCCCTATCAGAAATAGCATCTCCCTGCCCAATTCCTCCGTCTCCAAACCCTTCGGTGTTTTGTTGTTATTGCTGTTTACCATCTGTCTCTCCCATCAGAGTACAGATTCCAAGGGAATGGGGACTTCATCTCTTTTGTTCACTGATGTACCCCTCACAGTGATACAGCTGTGTCCTGACACACTTATGTAAACAAATAAACGTCTGTTGACAGAATCGATGAGCATCAGTACACTCTGCGGACCACCAGTAATGATCTGACTCTTAGGGACACAGACTTCGGCTGCCTCGTCCTCTGGTGCAGCAGCCTGGGGGACAGGGAATAGCAATCCTCGAAGACGAGCGGGAGCCAGATGCCTACGGGACTTCCCCGAGGCGGGTGTCGCCCCCCTGCTCAGCCGAGCCTTGCTAGCAACGGTTCGCGACGCACGCGCACGCTCCCTACGCTCAGAGCCCCTCCCACCACGAGACGTCCCAGACACTGCGATGTTCTTGTGTGGTAAGCAGGTGACACTTTCCCGGTAGAAAGAACACCCAAAGGGGCATCGGGACACCTGCCACTTGGTGACTGTGTAACCTGAGCCCAGGTTCATCTGTCTGAGGGCCCGCGTCCCTGGTGCACGAGTGTCAACAGTCATTGCTTATAGTGTTCTTGGGAAAATGACATGGGACCGTGGAAGTGGACATAATTCGTAAGCAAGAAGAAGGAAGCTGGCACTAGGGCAGAGGCGGGGTGGCCCCTGAGGCCGGGGCCTTGCAGAACCCACCTCAGTGCCACCACTACCTACGGGTGACGCTGGAGACAGGCTGGCCGCTGGGGGTCCCGCCCCAGGTCTGTCAGGTGAGTGGAAACTGGGTGATTCACACTCAGCACCCTCAAAAGAGCTCTCAGTAATGGCTAATGCACAGCCCCTTGGAGCCAGGCTGCCCAGGTATGAGCCATGTGGCCTCAGTCCCCTCATCCCCAAGACGGGGGTGATGACGGGACCCATCCAAGGGTTGTCACGGGTTGTCACATGGCTTAAGAGCGCTACTCCGGTGCCTTTGGATGAATGACCAGCCCCCGCCTACACTCTTGCCACAGGGATCAGCCTCTGGGTCTGGCCAGCAGCCAGCAGGGACCACAGGGGATGGAGAAAACGTGTGACGGCCTCACCGCCGTCACATGCTGCCCACGAGCAGCCTCGCTTCCTCCTCAGGACAGCCCTGCCACAGCTACTGTCACTGCCTCCATTTCTCAGACAGAAACCGAGGCCCAGAAGGTTCTGGGACTCACCCGAGGCCACGCGGAGTGCGCGACAGAACCGGGATCTGATCCTGGGGCTCTCAGGGCCCCAGACACATCAAGAGGCCACTTAGCACAGGAGTGAGGCCGAGTTCCCGCTCCGCCCCGCCCCATCCACGTGGGGCAGCTGTGCGCCTGGCGTGTCTACGCCGATAAAACCACCCACGTCCAGTGGGGATGGGATTCGGTGATGCCCGAGGAGAGAGGAGGGTCCAGGCATCGAAGCGCACGCGGCATGTGACAGTGGCCCGTCTTGCGCGGGGCTGGGCTCTAAGGTCAGCACGGGGGCGACAGCCGGGTAGAGCTCCTTAGAGCATCGCTGAGCGGCTGGGCCTTAGGAGCCCCGAAGGCAAGAATGGACTCTGTGCCCCTTTGCATTCAGGCTCCGGCCTCCTCGTCCTTAGGACTGGAGCCCATGGCTGGATTTGAGCAGGGACAAGGAAGAGGTCACCACGAGGGATGTCTCGCGCAGACAGAGGCGGCATCGGTCAACAGCAGGTAGCGTACAAATGCCCCCTCCCCTCCTTGAGGGCCACAGCTCCGAGCGGGCCAGCCCCTGCCGAGGACTCTGTGCCCCTGCACAGAGGGTCTGCAGGGCTGCCAGCAGCCCCCCGAGGGCGCGGGGTGTGAGCCCTCCCTCACTCCCGCCTGGAAGTTCTGCTACCACGCCTCCGAGTGTGAGACCGAAAGGCCAGGCTCCTGTCCCCGAGTCACCTCCTGCTGTCAGAGAAGAGCCCTGCTTGCTGGTGATAAAACCAGTTTCCTGAGTGCCTTTATCTGTCGGGAACAGCACCTGCCTCGGGGGAGAGCGGTCACCTCGGATCCACCTTCCTCGGGCCCCACACCCACCCGCCTGGAGTCCCTGGGGCGGGGGGCTGCCGGCTGCGTCAGCCAGAGCCCGGGGCAAGCCCAGGGGTGCAGCGGCCGGGCGCGCCCCGTTACCATGGTCTGGAAGCAGGAGTGCAGCTGGGTGAGGAAGGGCGGCTTCCCAGGCAGCGCCAGCACCCGCTTCTCCACCATCGTGCACTCCACGTCGTCGTCCTGGATCACCACGTCCTTCTTCAGGATCTTCACGGCGTACAGCTCGTCCGTGCCTTTCCGCTCCGAGAGCATGACCTGGGGAAGACAGCAAGCTGGGGTCGCTCGAGCCCACCGCAGGCCTCGGCTGGTCCCCGTCCTACCCACCGGCTCTGAAACGACAGACGATGTTCCCAGACAGCTCACGCCGGGACGGGCGACCGCGTATCGACCCCTCGGGACACGGATCGAGGCCCCGCCGACATCGCTGGAGTATAAACCCCACGAGGGCAAGTACCTCTGCCCGGCTCGCTCCCTGGCATGACCCCAAACGCCAGAGCGGGGCCCAGCGCACAGCAGACATCCCCTGGGTACCTGCTGGAGGAGGGCATCGGACGTGGGGCACCCGTGTCCTTGTCCACCCAACCACTCAGTACTAAGAGCGTGCTGAGCGCGGCCGCGTAGCAGCAAGCAGGCAGGCGCTCTGACTCGGTGCTCAGAGGCCAGGTGGACGTCGCATGTGACATGGGAGGATTAAGGTGTTATCACAACCTCCTCCCCGCTCGTCCACATGGTTGCAAACTGGCTGTGCCAATCCATGTGGCTCGGACTCATCAAACCTTCGCTGGGTGTGACTGTGCCAGGGGGAACAGTGACCGGTGGGTAGCATGCTCAAGGAGCCTCTGAGGGAGGACCTTCTCACTGGGCAGTGGACCCGCCTGGCCACAGCTGACGGGTAGCACCTGACCTAAGCCAAGCCCATCGGATTCTCTCTCCTGAGAATTAGCCATTAGGATGCTACTAGTGGCCAGCCCTGGGCCAGAGCGGGAACACACATGGGTCTGCCTAGACGGTCCTTTCGTACCACGGGGAGGCCAAGAAGGGTGAACCGTGCATGGGGAGACGGAGCGGGGCGGGGGCTGGGCACAGGCCGTGCTTTCCAGCCCCTGGTTCTGACCTCTCAGGAGGCCCGGCCACTCCCCGTCAGAAATCTCCCAGCCTCCAAGAAGGGGGTCGTTCCCGTGTAGCCCAGCCGGAGTGGGTTTCCGTTCCTTAGAGACCCCGTGAGACACAGTCACTGCTTGAGCAGCCCAGACTCGGGAAGCCGAGGAGCCTCGGTCGGCGCTCGGCCTGAAACAAGGCGGACGCCATCCTTCAGCAAGAGCTGGTCCCGGAACCCCAGGGTACGTCTTACGACACGGACCCCCAAGCTCCGCCCTCGGCTCTGGGCTGCGGCCTGGGAGTCTGCATTTTAACAAGCACCTTCCCGCCCTGGAATCCAGTCGCTGGACGTGGGTTGGGAGACACCGAGGTAGCTATCGAAATGGACTCGTCTACCACGGCGGGAGGTGAGCGGCCTCTTCCGTCTTGACTTTCCTCACGATTTCTCAGCTGCCATTAATGGGGGTGAGAAGGGAACCGGCCTTTGCTCCTTGTCATAAAATTCTGATGAAGCTTTCCTTTCCTTTCGTTATTAAAGAACAGCTGACAGACAGTATTATACTGTTTCAGGGTACAACACAGTGGTTAGACATTTACCTGACTTACGACGTGAGCACCACGCTAAGCCTGGTCCCCACCTGGCACCACAGTTATGATGACATGATTGATGATGTTCCCCGTGCTGTACTCCACGTCCCCGTGACTGTTTTTATAACTGGAAGTTTGTACCTCTCATTCCCCTTACCTTTGTCAAAGAAGATGGCGTATGTACATCTACAGAGGAATATTACTCAGCAATGAAAAAGGACAGGACTTTGCCGTTCCTGGCCGCGGGGTGGACCTAGAGGGTACCGTGCCGGTGACGTAAGTCAGACAGAGGAAGCTTCCCTTTCGACAGGAGTCTCTGCCCTTTCTTGGGGAGCTTCTTGAGAGGTTCCCCGTGTCACAAAGGAAGTGACTTCCTGTGGTGGCTTTAAACCACGTCCACAGATATTTGCTGCTCCGCAGTCCAGAGGCGGGGGCCCGGGCGGGCATTTGTGACGGCCTCAGTGAACAGAGGACAGTGAGAGTGACCCCGCGCGACTGCTGGGGCAGTAGCTTCCGTCCATCTCTCTCGGGACACCTGCCTTTGGAGCCCTGAGGCCACGGGCAGAGGCCCTGAGATGACACGAGGACCTCAGTGACAGGCAGCACCGGGTGCTCCAGCCCCAGCCTTTGCAAGCAACCCCAGACCACAATCAACGAGCCAGCCCCCCAATTTCCTGACCACAAAGCTAGGAGAGATAAAAGACTGCTGCTGTTTTAAAGCTCCTAGTTTTGGGGTGATCTGTTATACACCAATAGACACCCTGATTCATACACGCACCGATGCCACCCAGCACTGCCGGGTGTGGCCCCTGTCACGCTGGTCTGTTTAACTCTTGAGTTGGATGAAGCACAGTCTTTTCGATCAAATTTTTTTAAAAACCTTCAATGGAGAGAGGCTCCAGAGATGGGATTCACTCTTCCCTCTAAGTGTCACCGTCCCTGAAGGCCGGCCAGTCCGCCCACTCGTGAGTAAACGTCAACCAAGCGGCCTGGGGACGCAGAACAATGACAAGGCCCCCGTCCTCACGAAGCTCACGCTCTGAGGTTCAGCGAGATCCTGTCTCCGGCAGAAGCCTAAGATCCAGCGGACAGAGCGGCAGGGGCGCCGAGCGGGGTGACTGGGCAGGGAATGGTCGACGTCCGAGCCACGTGAGGGACGGGGACTCGCTGGGCGGATGAGACAGCCACGCCCACCTGTCACCCACACTGTGCAACTTCTCACGGCTCCCCGCACGGCTGTGCACCGCAGGCGCCGGCAGACGCCTGCCTTACAGACGGCGGAGCCAGGGCAGCCGGAGGAGCGAGGTGACTTGTCCGAAGTCACTCTGCGGGTCAGCGACGCTTCCTCGGGCCCCTGTCGCCTAAGTTCACGCCCTTCGGCGTGCCCCACGATTCTCCGAGCCCCATGGGGCACCGTGAGCGTGCACCGTCTGTGAATTACCGCACGGCCACACCCACACCGAGCATCCACGCATCGCCACGAGCCTGGGCTGAAGCTGTCACGACGCCGGCTCACCCGCCCGGTCCACAGCTCTCCTGGGGTGTCTGTGCTGGACACCGTGCAGGACATGGCCCTGTCCCCAAGACCAAGTGTCCGGAGAAGATCTTACTCCCTCCCTTGGGCCCCAAAGCATCGACACAGGGGAGAATGGCGGACAAACATCCATAGCCCTGGCCACGGGGACAGCCACGTCCCGAAACGTTGCTCTGTGCGGAAATGGCCTTTTACTCGCTGTCTCGTGCAGGCTCTGGAGCTGCCTCCTCCGGTGGCACCAGCACGGACAGGGGGCGCGGGGGCTGTTTGTTCAGCTGTCCCCTCGTCTCCAGGGCGAGGATCCAAACAGATGGAGGGGACGTGCTTATCAAACTCCGCGCTGCACCTGCCGCCCAAGCGTCTTCTGGGAGGGAAGTGACAAATAGCTCCGGTGACAGCAGGCAAAATGAAGGGAAGTAGCACCGGGAATTCTGGCTGCCAAGCTGGCGGGGATGAACGTGGGCGGGGACGTGCGCCTGGAGCCGCGGCCACTGACCAGGGGTCAGTGCGGCGAGCTGGCCAGGGCACGGACGTCAGACCGAGACGATGGGGACACGTCACGTCCGCCACGTGACCGGCGGCGCGCCCGCGGGAAGCCACTTCGCCTCTCTGAGCCCAACCTTCTCATCTGTGAAACGGGGACACGGCGACACTGAGCTGTCGGCGGTGCTGAGGGGACCACGCGGGACGCGGCGTGCACAGAGCCCGAGGCGGCAGCATGTCCCCGGCCCCCGAGAACCGGAGATGGGCAGCGAGAAGCAACAGATGTCGCGTCTCTCTCAGCTCTGGGACCAGAAGCCCGAGATGCAGGCGCGGGCGGCGCTGCTCCCCGCGGCCGGGGCGGACGCA